TTGAATTTTTTGCAATTCGAAACCAAACCGAAGTTAATCCGAACCGAAAATTTTCAGATTAATCTGAACCGTTCAGAGTTTTAAAACTAGATGATTTTCATTAGAATTTTATATGTAACTGAATATTTGGATGTATATACTAATATGTATTAGAAACTGATTGATTGATCTATCGATTGATGTTAATCATGCCTAAATACTGAAATGGCAAAACAAGTGGATGCAAATGAAGCCAGGGATCGACAGAAACTTGGTCTTCGCTGATAGACCTGTAACGGGTACTATCTCACGTCTTCAATTTCAGGGGCCCTTACACAAGTAAGGAATTGATTAACTAGTAATTAGTAGATTGTATACTATCTACAGGTGGCTAAGGTGATAATAGACTGCATTGCACTGCTGCAGCACCCTCCAATTGAGCTGTCATTAGGGATAGAGGCCGGGTTCAATTCCTGGGTGAATTTGACGATATGGGTACGACAGCCACCTACCTTTTTGAGGTTCTATAAGATGAACAATATCTAAGCCTTTCTGATCATGTGTAAAATATCCTGATACCGGGCAGAGGTAATAGTATCCAGATATGGTGTTGGTAAACACAGGGAAAAATTGACAAAAGTACCTGTGGCTGAAAGTGATCCTTCTATCCATATTTGACAGTGATTCTGAGGTCTAGGGACTCTGAAGACTAGCTCTTGGGGATGTCGACCTAGGTGGCAATTTTCAGACCAGTATTACAGGATGGGTTCTGGCTAGAACTATGTGTCTAGTTATGACTTTAGAAGATTCTCAGGTGTAGAGGGTAATACCTTAATACTCTGTTTAAAGATTTCTATATACCAGATACTATAACTTAAAAAAAAAAAAAAAAAAATTTAATATATTAATATTTAGTATAACTTTTTTTAGTAAAAATAATTTCATAAATTTGAGAAGATATTGAATTAATAAAGTTTTAATATATTTCTTTAAGTACTAACTTCCATTTTTTAATAACTATTTTTTTAACTCTTGGATATTAGATGTGACAAGGTATATATGATCAAATACCTTCTATCCTTAATACTTTTTTGATGGTCTACTTAGATACTTTCTTACCTTTATTTTGTTTTGAAAAGTAATAAACTACTTTTAAACTATAGTACTTAGAATCTTTATTATTAAGAATTACTTTTATCAATTTTTTTCATTTTTATAGTCATTATTTAAAGATAATCTCTAATTGTTTATTAATAGTTTAATTATTTTTAAAATTTGAAAAACTATTGACTGAGAATATTCAGCAATTTCTACAATATTTTTTTGTGTAATATAAAAGTTTTTGATATACAAATATTATATTTCTTTGCTCTGAAATAATCTTTTTTTTGCATAATCTATTTTTTTGTAAAAAATTGTAAAATTCTGAAAATATTTAAAAAAATTTAAATTAAAATAAACAAAAAACAATCAAAGTTTTAATAAAAACAAATTCATTTTTGATTAGAAAAGCATTGTAAATTACCATAATTAGTTTTATTACATCATTGTATATAAAAATTAATTAATTTAAACTTTATGAAAAAATTATTTAATACTTATATCACCCCTGTACCTTTTAAATACCAAAAAATCTATTGAAGAAAACAACAAAAAGTTAATTGATAAATTCAATATAAAAGATCTAAATACTAAGACTAAGAATTGAAATTAATTTAATAAAGTTTAGACTACTCTTGAAAATCTAAAGTAAGATATTAAAAATAATTAATAGTAAAGTTTAAGTATGTTTAAATAGAATTAATCTTTACTTTTAATATATAAAATTAAACTATTAAAAAATAAATGTAAGTGAGAATGTTATTAATATAACAGAAAAAGAGAAGTATTATGTTAAATGTATTTATTTTTGGTAAATGATTATATATTAACTTATAAAATACCTTATTTGTATTAGGAATATTATATTAAAATATGAAGTTTTCTTTAAAATAAAAACATTCTTCAAATAAAATTATATGTTTTGAAGTATAAGTAGATGTTACTCTATAGATATAAATAATATAGATGAATAAAATTAGTTTATTAGGATTTGAATATTTATTTATTTCTAAATATTTATTTTAATACTGCAAGAAATTATTTGAAAAACTTAGTTATACATATATAAAAGTAAAGAAGTAAATATATATAGATGAATATAAGAAAAAAATATAATAACTTATCAGAAAATATTTTTAGAACAAATAAATAAACTTGAGATTAGGATACCAAATTTTTTTTGAAAATAATTTGAAAGAAGTAATGCAACCAGATGATAATATGTAATTACTTATTTTTGTTATATATGATGAATGTATTTTTTAGCTTATGATAAAAGTTGAAGTCTTTGGATTCCAAATAAAGAATAGCTCTTATGAAAAAAAATATAAGTACTCAATTAATATCAGTAAATTTTTAACTGATATTTGTGATTCCTGATGAAATATAAATACTAGATAACTTTTTCAGAGATTACACATTCAGGAAAAAATAATAATAGATGTTGAAAGGTTAAAAACTTAATATATTAAGTAGTTAAATGTATTATACCCATACTTTCCAGAATATCAGGCTTTGTTTGTATTTAATAATACATCAAATCATGCTACTTTTTACTTGATGCATTTATTGCTAAACACATGAATCTCAATCCTAATTAAAAGTAGCCAAAGATGCATAACATATATTTTAATGAAGGGATTCAACAAGAAATGAATTTTTTGTTAGATTATCATATACCTTAATTGTGTAGACAACCAAAAGGATTAAAACAGATTTAATTGAAAGGGGATTGTGGTTAATGAAGGATTGAAATTGGAAGAAGCAAAATTAATGAGCCAGCAACTGGATTTTTAGCACAAAAGGGTTAAATAGAAGAAATTATTACTGCATTTAGACATCAAATTATATTTTACCCTAAGTTTTATTGTGAGCTCAATTGCATTGAAAACTTCTGGATGCAGTGAAAAAATTAAGTCAGCTATATTGTGATTATTCATAGACAATAGAGGCCTGCAACAGGCTGGGTCCGGTGTGAGAACCCGGCCTAAACCCAGGTTCTGGGCCGAGTATGGGCTGGCAAATTTAAGTTTAGAATTTTCCAGGTTGGGTCAGGTTCAAGATACCAGCCTGGATTTTTTATAATTTTGGCAAAAATCATTATTTAATTAAAATTTAGCCGCCACTGATTGTTTGTAAACAGGAGTAGCATTTGATACTTCATTAATTTTTTGTTCATTTATTATAATAATAATTTGTTAAAAAAATTGTAAAAAAAAAATTACATATTGTTATTTTGTACTTTGTTAAATAAAAATAAAATGATTAAATTGTTAAATTACACATCGCCAATAATTATAATAAAGTCCGGGCTGGATCGGGCTGGCATTTTAATACACAGGCTGGGCCAGGCTTCAAAATTTGGACTTATGCAGGTCTCTAATGGACAGGATTACAAAAAACTGTTCCATTGGCTCTTAATTCTGTTTCACTTACATCTATTTGCCGGTATGCAAGAAAAGCGTTTCGCTATATGGATGTGTTTAGAAAAGGTTTGACAGGCCAGGCGGCAGAATTTGCAGCTAAAAAATACCGTTCACATCGTCAGGTTTCCGATTCAGTTTTACAATCAGTTGATATTAGCAAATTTTCATTTGCAAGCAACAAAGCAAAAAGGAAGAGAAAAATTAGGAAATTGTGAATTCCTTTAATACTGTAAAATAAAAAAAAATATTTAATAAATGTTGCTAAATTGAAATAAAATTTTCAGGTTGACTTTCGTAACAAGATAGGAGATAATTATGTTTCATTTTCCTTCGTGTATGTTTCCGATTTAAAAAGCTTAGTCAGTTTTATTATTTTACGATTATCATTTATTTTAAATTTTATTAAATTTATTTGTTGGAACTAAGTTGTATGCACTGTATAAGACTTTTTTTTGTTAAAATTTGAAAAAAGTGACCCGGCCGAACCGAAAAATCGAAGTTGCATGGCATGGCCTAAAAGATAATAAGAAACCTAGACCGAAAAAAAACCGAAAATGCAACGCCGCGACGACTGTAAAATATAGCAATAAGATTTAAAGGATAGGTTAAAGGATAAAAGGAAAGTAAAAAGAATCTTTCAATAAAATTTTGAAAGACGTCATATTATTTTTTTTTTTTTTTTGCGTGCACATATATTTATAGCTGAAGTAGAGACGAATAAAGGGCAGTAATATTCTTTAATAAGAAAGTAAATAGAAATATTACTCGTGATAATAATTTTCATTGGTTACAATTTTAAGTATAATTTTTAATTCCGGCTAAAATAATCGATTTTATACCTTATTTAAGAAATTATGATTGTTAATTTCAAATGAGAATCGCGACGTCAGCGGTTGAGGCTAAGGTGGGTTTAACGACTGATTGAGCTTAGTGAGTCGGCTCCAGAATTACTGCGTTAAAAGGTTTATGAATCGTTTAATAGTAATGTATGGCTTATTAAAAAGTTTTTATTTAGCCAAATATTATATATTTAATTCTTTGCTTTAACAATTTTAAGCATGGTTTTTTTAGCTTCTTTATATATCTTTTATGTTTATGATTTACTCATTTCATTTCTTTAACATCAAGTATATACGGACTTAGATTTTAATGGACATAATTAAATGTTATAGTTATTAATAAAATAATTATTAGGTTGTTTGTACCTTTGAATAGTCTCACCAAACTTTAAAAGGTAAAATGATAGTGCTATATTTATCTTAAAGTTTGATCATTATTTAACAAAGAAATTCGACCCTTTTTTAGAAAAAACCAAAAACAGAAGAATGTCAATGTTAATGTCAATGCTCCCATATCTGGTAAATGTTAATGATGATGCATTACAAAAAATCTTAAAGCAAAATCATTTCCGAAATTAGTAAGATAAATGGAACTTTCCATGCAAAAAAAAAAAAAAAATAAAAAAAAAAAAAAAATCTCCCTCTCCAACAAAACATGACAGAAATTAAGACTGATATTCTTACAATATTAACTTTAAGTTATCAGGAATGTTATGACATTATCATTGATTCTCTAAAGAATGAATTACCCACGTTATATTCATGCATTAACGTCAATCGGTCATTTTGTCGAATCTTTATACCGATTCTGTGGAGTAATCCTTTCAAATTTATCAAAACGGACCAAAAATTAATTCAAATATTTAACACACTCATACATTGCCTTGACCCGTCTATTAAAATAAAAGAAATTCCTACATCAAAGGCGTATTTTGATTATCACACCTTGATTAAAGAGTTTGAATTAAATCCTTTACAAAAAGGATTGAGACTTTGGACTTTAAAGTATTTATCAAAGCAAAATGAAACATTTCTAATCTCATGCGATAAAAAAATACGTAAAAAAGTGGTCAAAATTAACAAATATATTGGAGAATTATTTTTCAGTAAAAGGAATCAATATGAATTCATCAATATTTATTATAATGATTTATTATTTGCACCAAAATCCTTATTAGACGTTTGCGGATTTAAGAATCATGAAGAAAGTTTGATCAAGGTTAATAAATTGTCAATAGGATTCTTTCATAAGAGCAATGCGAATTTAATTCCGGTTATTACCGAAAATTTTTCAAAGCTTCAAAAAATTCTGTCACCGAACATACAACATTTGCAAATCTCTATTGATACGACGAGGCAACACACAAAGTTATCCACCAACTTGATAAATTTTATTAAATCTCAACTTTGTTTAAAATCCTTAATTATGGGCGTCTTTTGGAACAGTTTACAAAACAAATCTTTTCTTTATGCCTTACAAAAACAATCAAAATCTTTGACCTTTTTAAGGTTGGGATGCGGTAATTTTCAGATATCCACTTCCATTTTATTATCCATATTAAGGCAATTGCCAAATTTAATCACCCTCGAATTCCGTCTCATTTCTATGCATTCCGATAAAGATGTTTCAAAAGAGATTTCTGACCTTCAACCTTCTCTTTTTAAAAATTTAGAACACCTTTATTATGATTATTATCTCTATTATTATGCGTCAAAGAATCCGAGTGAACTTTTAAAGAAAATCCTTTTGTCAGCGAACAATAATTTGAAATCCTTTATAGTTGATATCTCTTATTGCTCTTTTATTAAAGAAGTTCAACAACAATGTCATTTGAATATAACTCATTTCCATTTGATAATTAGTCGAAATTACTCATTCGTTGATTTAATTATTATATTGAAAAATTTACGATTGATTCATTTGAAAATTAATCAAACTTCTTCCAATCGAAATTATTTATCGGGCTGTGTTCATCTATATAAGGAATTCTCTCAAGCAATTTCCCCTACTTTAGAAATACTTGAGGTGGACTTTGTTGTATCGGATACGTTTTTGGAAACCTTACTTCATGAGACCAAAATTAATCTTCAATACATTAGGTTGTACCGTTATGAGTACAGGGACACCTCCTTAAGAATCTTTTACAATTACGCAAAAAGAAAAAAGTGTTTTAGAGAACTTGGATTGTCTCATATTTTACACTTTTCTACAAAACGCTTGAGGAAGGCGCAAAAACTATTTAGGGTAAGAGAATGCTCGGATGATGAAATTTTGAGCCCATTTTATGATGTACCAATCGCAAATTCTTACTGGAGCAACAGAGTTACAGAATAGTTTTTTTTTTTTTTTTTTTTGGGTTTTTGATTTTTATTTTTTCCTTCAACCTTTTTTTTTTTTTAATATACCCTTTACATATTTATCTTCATAAAAGTATAAGCTTCACCTTTCTGCATGTTTAGAATCATATTTTACATCCACAAGTTTCCTTTTCTTTTCCTTGGAATGAAATAAAATAAAATATCTTGAGATTTACTTAATTAATCGAGAATCATATTTAATAAATGGTTCCGAAAGGATGTTATTGATTGAACAAGTCCTTCAAATCTGGGATGCAACATTTAACACGTTTCTTATTGCTTGAGGAATTCTACAAACTTTACATGGAACTGATGATGCACGAACTGAACTTCAAAGAGGTCCAAGAGGATCGGCAGGAGCATGGAAACTGTGGATTTACCTTAATTACTCGATGCTTATCTCGCGTACAAAAATTATCAACGGTTATGTTTATCCAATACTCATCACATTATCCGGATATGACCAACTGATTACGATGTTCGATTTGACAAAATTATTGATCGGATATTCGGATATTCAGATATTACCTTTGATTGGATAATACTAATTTTTGAGCGACCATCAAACAAATCCGCAATTAACTAAAAAAAAAAATAGCTAATTTCAAAATTCACTGGACAACCGATAATACTGAATACATTTTAAAAAAGCTATACACGTTTATGATACAAAAAATTGTGCCCGCTATACTCGGAACACTGATCCGTTCGTAGTGATCTTCTGCAAATGATCAGCAATCCCGACTCTTGAAAACTCAAAGTTATAACATTTAATGAAATTTTACAAAAGAGAAATCATCATTAGAAATGATAAATCGAATACAAAATTTTTGACCGATTCGGACCTCTAATTTAAAAATATTAACAATTAATACGTGGTGTGAAAGATCAAATTTCTGTACCGAGGATGCTTTGAGAACGAAAGTTCAATTATATTTCATCTTCCTTCCTTTGAATATGTTTGCAAATAACTTCAAACTTTAGGATTTATTACTTTGTGATTACAGTAATCTGACAAAGTTCTAAGATAAATTCATGACATTGACGAAATGTCGATCTTAGATTACAATTTTCACTTTCCGTCACGTATCATTTTTAATGAAAATTCGGCTAAGTTCATAAAGTGGAAAGAACTGTGAGATCTCGAATTCGCTCCACGTTTTACAGCGTCCTTGGCGCATTGCTGCCCTAAATTGGAAACTTACGAAGAGGACTTTTCTAATCTATTTAATAATTGTACAAATCTTTATTCCTTCAGAATTTAATAGCCTCCTCAATTTTACGGATGCTTTAGAAACATTTATTTACAAGTGTGATGCAAGGTTGAGTGAGGAATTGTATTTATAAGTAAGATGACAAACTTATAATTAAACATTATATTATCAAGGGCGCGTGATTGATGGTTGTCTTTATATATACAGTATATATTTCTTTTGATTTGCTTCCATTGTTTGGCATTGACAGACTAAGGATCATTTTTAATTCCGAATTTTTTTATACGTGAAATTTTGAAGAAATATTTGTTACACATCAAAAATAAATATCAAAAGATATCTATTCTATGATGAAATTTTTAAAAAAAGTGAATTAATTAAATAAAAATACATTATTAAAAGAAATTCTATTCTATATATGCTATGACTCTCGTTTATTTTCAATCTTTTCTAATTTTTCCATAATTTCTATAAACATTTCCTGCATGTTTGTTTGTAATTCAACTATTTTGGTATCGATCTTTTGATCCGTGTTGGCCAATCTATTATTTAAACTCTGTTGAAATTCTTTAAAGCTTTCATCCAAAGGTATAGTAATACCAAGCTCGTTCGGCATAGAAGGAGCAGAAGTTATTGATGAAGTATTGCACTTCTTATCCATTTTATATTTCAATAAAGAAAATTTGTCACTTGGATCCTCCTTAAATTTATACTTTTTATATGATGCCCTATTCTCATATCTTTGATACATGCACCCTCTAAAATCCTTCCTTCCCTCTGACCAATCCTCAAAACTTCTCGAATGTCCTACATAAAATATATATTCCGGATCTGGTTCCGGTGGCCAAAATCTTACATCCTCTAACGCTTCATAATCTGAGATGAGCGTTGCTCTGTACCTTAACAATGCATCTCTTCCTTTCTCTGCCGCTTCTTCATACACACCGCTATAAATATAAAAATATTTGTTATTTATATATTTTAAAAAAGGATGATTTTTCTAATTAATATTTAAATAAACAAATTGCGATTGATGGTGTGATGTCATTTACTTCATTTGCACCGAGTTTCATTTTTTCCTCTATCTTTGAAAAAAAAAAGGGGGCAAACAAGAAAATTCAAATTACCTATGGCGTCCGCAACTTTATAATCAGACACAATTACTATTTAAAAGAGGGCATCGACGCCAGTAATAACGTGATGTTTAAATTTAAAAATAACTTACCCCATAAAAGCAATCAGCATGTTTTGCAATACGGTAACCAATAAAAGACTTGCAAATAATGACAATATTTCAATGGCCCAATAATCAAAATCATCCTTCTGACTCCAATAACCATTAATCCAAAAATATGCCGCTTGAACCGATGATAAAAAACTTGCGAACGGATTATCATCACTTGACGTTGGATCAAAAATCGTTTCCATTTTAAACCCTGTCAGCGTATCGTCTGCATTTAATAAATTAAAATCTTCTAGTTTTGGTTTGATTACATTTATATCTGGATTTGATAATAATAAGAAAACTAAAATATAACAAAATGGTGTTAACTTTTTTTTCCTTTTTGTTAAAAAAAAAGGTCTGGAAAATGATTAAAACGTAAACCCCTGGACTTACAGGCATGGGCAAAGGCCAATATTACAAAAAACATGAACAAAAGGAAGGGATATCTATGATGAAGAAAAGGTCTATTAGTATGAAGATTTAACTAACTTAACTAAAAACTTTAACTCACACTGTAGAGAATATTATTATAACAAAATAAATATATTTAGCCATTTCTAAAAAAAAAAAAAAAAAAAAAAAAAAAATTATTATTAAAAAAGTAATGAAAATATATAAACAATAACTATCTTACTTTATTAATGAAATTACATACCTGATAATAATCTTAAATATAAAAGCTGCAAAAATGAAAAGATGTTAACGAACAAATATCTTAACAAAACAATAATAATTATTATTTAGATTATTTTTTATTTTTACTCACCAATTCACACCAAAGTAATAACATTGTAAAGGAAATTCCGGTGACAACCCCAGTGCTGGTTTCAACTTCTACAAACCCATTCGGCTTCAATGAACTTGCAACGAAGATTGACATAACTATGCAAGGAGTAATAATTGAAATTATATCAAACATATTACTAACACTTAAAGATTCTCTAAAACCATGATGCAATGCCTGCAAAACTTCGACAGCTATTAAATAATAAGCCAAATAATAAAAACACGCTATTACAGCGATCAGTAACCCTTTAATATGTCCCGTAGTTTCGAGTTTTGACATATAAGCCCAACTTATTACACCAAAACAAATTGCGTATGCTATGAATGCAAGAAATATTTGTAAAAAGTAATTTCTTGCTGGCCGCCATCTAAAATCTATAATTGCTTCCATTGCAGGATTATCAAAAATATCATTGTCTTTTTCATACCTAACTACTTGAACAAATGGACTTAATAATCTTTTATCCTCTCTGCCTATTACATAACCTCTAGGAATAATTAATATTTTTAAAAGTCTTAATAAATTTGATTTCCAATCATAACTGACGCGAGCTTTTGGAATATTATGAACTGTAAAATTCGGCAACCTAAATTTATTCAAATGTACATTAATTTGAAAAGTATTTATAAGTTTAAAGAACTTTTTAAGATCACTCACGGAACGACCCTTAATGCTATAGGAGGAGGCGCAAGATCATTATCAAAGTTATCAACAAAATCTGTGTAATATCTTGGTAACTTAACAGTGATAAATTCAAATATGACTTGGAGTGTTGGCTTATGATTTTTATCTGAAACTAGTGTAGTATTCGGTTTAAAAGCTTTAAAATCTTGTATTTTATTTCTCCTTGGTTTGCTATGTTCAGGAATTATTTCGGAGGCATCATACTCTGTTCCAAGCTCCTTGTCAGCAAAGCATTCTTTATAAAATAATGCTTTTACATAGTAATCTAAAAATTTTTTGTATTAATATTATCAATTTACATTTACATTCAAATCATTTCATTATAATTTATAATCACAAACCTAAATTGTATCTATACAGTAACGGTAATGCTTTTGAAATTGTTATCATCCAGCCAATATGATGTAATGCATTTTCAGAATAATATTCTAGCAAATAACCGACCATAATTGCATCTTTTCTTTCTCTGCCTAACATAATACATAAGTTTTTATTAGAAATCGATACATAACAACATAAAAACAAAAATGAAATCTTTCCTTTTTAATTACCTTTACAGTATTCAATTGCCCATTCTAAATCAGTAGTTGGCATTCTTATCTTCGTCTTTGATTGCTCTTCGATTCCATTATTGTTCCTTTTCTTTTTACATTTTATCAACATATAAAACCAAACAATTATTTCAGATAAAAATGAGATAAACCGATGATAAAAACCAGAAGATTTCTTATTATATTCGGGTTTATTTCCTTTGGGTGGTGAAATATCGCTAATCCATTCCTTGGACCTTGGAATATGTAATATATGCTTATATTTATGAGTACTATTTTTAACATCATCATCTTTCTTCAATTTCTTTGAATTCTTTTTCTCGGCTTTAAGCTCTTCTAACGTCATATCGCCAAAAAGAGCAGTCTTTACTAAATAATAACAACCCCCTCGTATTAAACTGGACAACACGTTATATCGAACATCCATCATCTTAAAGATCTTTGGCTTTTTCTTTATGAATCTCCATACAATTCTACTTGTTTTTTCGACAATCTGTTCAAATTCTACCATTTTTTTGTAATCTATTATTTTGTTATTTCGTTTATTCAAATGCTCAAGGGTTTCGCAAGCATGTAAAACAGGAGTTACATGACCGTCTTTGCAAGGAAACGAAAGTCTCTTATAATAGCTCGTCACTATTCCCCCCTCCCAATATTGCCAAGAAACCGTAAGAGAAAATGCATAATCGCCAACCCATAATTCTTGTAATTGTAACCTTGAATCTTCGGTATCATGCTCTGTTGGAATGTTATTTGCCCAAATATATTCAAGGACGGGTTCTTTCTTTGGTAGATTGAACCCCTCTTTTTTATCTTTTTTCTGTCTTGGTAAGTTTCGCCAAACTTGCACTGTGCTATGTCCAATTATAAGCTGTATCGTTTCATCCGCGTCAAGGTATGCTGAAATGCGACGATAGTTATTTATATCAACCCATGGTTCCTTATTGTCAACTATAGCTTTATGAACATCACTTGGCATCTTACGACGAAATATCTTGTGTAATTTTGTATCTTCTTCATGCTTAGAATATACGTATGGCATATTTTCTTCCTGATCTGGCGTAGTTTCGAATGCTTGAAATATAGTACAGCCGAACAAAATCGTTGCATCTGTTTCTACTCCATTTACAAGATTTACAAATCCGTCATGTTCAATAATCGAAAACAAGCTACCATCATCTTTCATACGATAAAGTTTACTAGGGATTCGTGCCATATGAGAATGATAATTGTCTTTTGATGGAAATAAATCACCCGACATTCCGGTACGAACAGCATCGTCCGATGAACTAAACAAATCCCATATTTTAACTTTTGTCACCCTATTAGGCTCGACATCGTTATAATATGAGCTTTTTTTCCTAGTTATCTTTGGTCTTTCAATATTAATGTCCTTTTCTATTTTTTCTTTCTCATTTTTCATCACATGTTTTTCCTCGGGTAATAACTTTTCTTTTTCAATCGGTATTTGTTGTTTACCTTTGCTATCTGAGTCATCCACATCCTCTTCTACAATTACAGTTAACGCGATGGGATTCTCACCATTCGTGGCTTTGGATTCTTCTTTGATATCCAAACATACTTCTTCTTCGGTAATGATAAGTAATTTCTCATCTTTATCAATAAATTCCAAAAAAAGAATTCGCGTCTCAATCCCAAGTTCTATTGTACCTATATCAAGGCCATTTTCGATCCAAAACAGTGTTACAGATTTTTCGCCGTTACTACAAGCGACCAATTGTTTATTTTGTGAAACCGCGAATACGGATGATATATGACTTGCGGTATGTTGTACACTCTCTTCATGTCGATTTATAAAAATTTGCATTTGTTCCATCGTTGAAAGATTGTACATTTCTATCGTATGAACTCCGTCTTTATATTGGTCTACAAAGAAATAATGATGATAAATACATGACAACAGACGATCCAAACAATGTTTTGATTTATACCAAGCTTTTAATTCTTTTTCCAATCTTTTAGGAAAAGAAAATCTTTCTACACTGAATTTCGAATTAAAAGCGAGCTTTTCTCCGCGTTTTTCAAAATAATTAACCTTAAAAATTCCTTCAGCGTTAATTATGATGCAACTTGTTGCCAACATTTTAGTCAAATAATAATCCTGTTCAAAACTTTGAAAATCTTGAACGTCAGATCCTTCTTCCACAAACATTATAATTCCGCCAAGATTGTGACAAATGAATTCCTTAACAACACCAGGCTTTTGAATTAAATCGTGATTACATTTATCAAAAACGATCCGATATATTTCCGTTCTACCTTCGGCCTTGTCAAACTTGGGCACTACAATTTCTTCAAAATCGGGAGGATCATCGGATACACTTTCCGGAATCCTGTTGTTGAAATTTGCATATTCATCACTATTATATCTGTTTAAATTTGGATTAAGTATTCTAACTACTTCATCTTCTTCGGCTGTCCTTTTTTTCTTCATGTCTGTTTCAATAATAGCTGATACTGCGACAAATATCACGTGTTCACCTTGATGTTCCATTATATTTGATATTGATAGAGACCATGATGGAAATATTCTAGATAATTCTACTTCATATTTTTCTTGGCTTTGTTTCATTGTTATATTTTCTAAACTAATTCCATTAGATTTCTCGTTTAAATAATTTGGAACATTCAAATAATTTTCTGATTTTGGAACGTTTAAATTTGGTTGTTGTTCAGAACTTGAAGTCTTTCTCAATTCTTCTCGTAATCTTCCAATTGACGCGTATTCATATAGTTCACTCGTGTCAATTTTATAAGGATTCAATTGATCATTTGATGCATTTAGATTCGGAATCTTTACGAATTTATACGTAGGGTCTACAATGTCATCCGAATAACTAATGCCCGTAATCGAATGGAAAATATTGAATTCGAGCTTTTCTAAAAAAAAAAAAAAAAAGTATTTAATATAATTAAAAAAAAAAAAATTAATAATAAAAATTATCAGATTAATATATCCTTACTATAATCAAAGGTACAAATATATTGACCATCAGGACTTATGGCAACATGAGAAGCGAATCTTTCTTTATTAACTTCGAATTCTAAATCTATAGGGGGTTGTTGTTCCTGCGTTCTTCTACTTTTAAATCCAAGAATATTACTAATAGCGGATTTAATGGAGCTTATTGAATTCCTTGAACTTCCATCATTTGACGATCGATTTGCAATCGATAGAAACGAATTAAAAGACCTTGGCTTTTTCCGTTTAGAAGATTCGATTTTCAAATCATCCATGAACAATTCTGTATTAGATAAGGGATTTGACTCTTGTGAACGTTGTTTCTTGAGAAATAAATTTTTAGGAGGGACATTATCAAAGTTGGTGAAATCAAGAGAATACTTTTTGTCGGACATTTATTTTCTATAATTTTTTTTTTCTTTAAAAAAAAAAGAAAAAAAAAAAAAATATTTGCTTGGCAATTTTTCTATCGGAAATAAAAGTAAATTAAAAAAAATTTTTTTTAGGCAAATAAATTCAATAAAACCGGATTTATTTTATCACGCATGCATATGACATATGATGGAATAAAATTATGGCTAGATATCACCTTGGTGTAACCTTTTTTTTTTTTTTTTGACATTTTCGAATATCAAAAAAATAATATACAGTAAATAAATAAATCACTTTCCTTGTTCTAAATCCGATACATATTGTAACTTGCCTTTTTTGCAGAATAATTATTAACTGTATTTTTCTTGGTTGCATTTATTGTCACGAAATTCAATGTTATCAACGTAAATGGTGCTATATTGTAACCTTGTTGATCATTCATTAAATGAATAAAATAAGAAAACAGGGATAACAAGGGAAATATAATTTATTACGGAACAAGAATGAATGAAAAAGGCTGGAAGATTATCGTAGAAAGAATTATGAAGATTCATTAAACGGTCATGCAAAAAAAAAAAATTGATTAACGTGTCCCAAAGCGATTAATCTATTATTCGCGGAAAAAGGTTTTCTTAAAAAAGATGCATATTTGCTGACTAGGTTAACCCAAAATCGGGATAGGTTTTGATGTACATTTGACACGTGTTCCCATTCTGTAAAAATAACGCCAAAAAACTATTATAATGGTTGTGCAAGATATCAAAAATGTCCTTTGAATTTTCCACTTATTTTTTATTTCAGTTTATGCAGCAAAACCTAATAAACTTTGTTGACGCGTATGACAGAAAAATGTTGTGTCGAAACTTTCGGTGCTTCTAGAATACATACGTTAACGTTAATAACAACGGAAAATTAAAAAATCTTAATTAAACGAGTGTTGAACATTTAAAATAAAATTTTCCTATACATATATTCGGATGGATTGTAATACATCAATAATAGGTAATACTAAGTATTACTATTATTTCCTGCATGATCTCCGGAGAGAATCAAGGTTCCATAAAGCAAAGCCCGAAGGAATATCCCCCGGGCGCCATTAATATCTCTATCTATTTTTATTAGTTTTTTTAAAAAAAAAATTTTTAATTCAAAAACCTTTATAATATGACTTACTGTACCTCTTTAATTTAGGAATTCCACTATTTAAAGAATCTGAATCAGTTTATAAGGTAGGGATGGGCGTTAATTAACCGTTAATTAACCGTTAATTAACCAAAGGATAATTAACCAAAAAGATAATTAACCTTTTAGTTGACCAATCAAATCAAAAGGAAACTTTTTTAAAATTTTTTACAGTTATATTTAGAATTGTGTAATACAAAAATATATATAATGTTAATTAACGGTTAATTAACCAGTTAATTAACCAAATCTTAATTAACCGTTAATTTCCCATCCCTAATTTTTATATTGCAATTTTTGCATTTATATGTTTTTGATCCTCCAATATTCTGAATATTACATGTCTTTGACGTGTAAGCTTAATTTTGAATTATCACAGAGATTCCTTTCTTTTCTGCTTTTGAAATCAAACGTTGTTTGAAACTTGTAATGAGATCAACAAAGCATCTTTCTAACTGTTTTCCTTCTTATTTTTCGCATTTTTCTGTTTACCATATTTGAAACCTCAAAAGGAGGAATAACAATTACATCAGATTCATCAGTTAAAACTTGATTGTTTTTCGATGAATCTCATTTTGTAATTGTTTGATCTTTTTTTGCATATGAAAGATAGCATTTTCAATACGTAATGCTTTCTTTTTGAGGTTGAAGATGCCATATTGTCTTTTTTTTGATATAAGATCATCTATATGTTTACATAAATGAAAAATACATCCTATATCATCTTCTCCTATTTTACCTACACCTTTTGTTGAGGCATACCATATGAATGGAGTACGAACTTCTGGGTTAATTGAACAACATGAACTTCCGCTTATGTTTCATAGACCTGTTTCTGTGTTTAATATACCCAATGAAATATCCAATCATTTGTCTTTCGTATATATGTAAATTTACAATCACAATCTGTCTTTTGTGATGGCCGTTTATTATACTTTCTCTTTATTTCAAAATGAAATGGGCGCAAATCATGTTTTCCATCTTTTAATTCATTGGTTTTATATCATTTTAATGATAAAGTTGAAGAATTGTGAAGATATCTAACATAAAAATGGTTCCATTCCTTTTTTGAAAATTTTGTGCATGAATGGTCATTGTTTGATATAAATCTTCCTTAGATCTAAATGATAATGATGATTTTTTAGCAGCTTCTAAATTTTTTTGCATAAAATTTTTTCTAGCTATTAAAGCTTCATCAATACTCTCATCAATTATATTTGCAGGTACTTTATCATGTAGACCTTTGAGACGTAAACCTAACCATACAACTGTTTAAAGAAATTTATGTTCTCCCCATACACATGATCTCTGTAATTTTTTGTCTTCCTTTTTGTTAAGATCTTTTCCTTCTTTTACATCTACATATAATTTAAGTTTTTCATCAACTATTAGAGGTTTTATATGATTTTTGTCCCATTTAACAACAGTATTATAAGCATATCTCATCAATCAAAACCATCTCTTCAATATTGTTTTCTGTAAATTATTTGGATATGTTTTGATTGATAATGTTCGATTTACTATTGTTTCAGCTTTCCTTTTTTTTTTGCTCTGTGTGTTTATCATTTTTGTTATCTTTCGCTTTCTATTCTCTTCGGTGCATAGTTGCTCTTCTTCTATAGATGAAAATGTTGTTGATTATAAGAATATCTTGGGAAAGTTCATGTTCATCAGAGGTCGTGTTGTCGAAGAGAATCACGAGTTTTGTAATATGGAGGGAGAGCACATACTGGATGAGGTCAAAAGCAAAGTGGCAGAGTCAATCATGGTGGGTAACCACAATTTCCGAGACCATTCCGCGACTTGTCCATTCCAATAAGATCTTAAGTCCTGGTCTCTTGAAGTTGACACCTGATCCGAGTTCATAGGTTGGGAACCAGAAGCTGAGGAGTTACTTCTGTCACTCAAGGTCCTCTTTTTGTTTGACACTAGAGATCCAAGCATAAAGGAATCCTTTTAGTGGCGGTGGAGGTGATGGTGGTGGAATCCACAATATTTGAGACATCATAAAGTCGCACACCACCTGGTGAACAAAATGCTGTTATTTTACTGTTGCGATGCCAGCGATAAGTGTACACAAGGAAACACTAAGGATAGAAGAAGCCTGAGTGGCAGTAACGAACATTAAATGAAAAAAAAACTTAAATATTTTATGAAAGGTTAAGTTTATTTGCGAATAATATTAAGAATTTGTTTCAATTCCATTCATAACTGGTAACACACATAAGGGGAATTAAAAAAAAATTATTTTACTACCGAACAAATTCTGTCCCAGAATACATAATAATAATAAAAAAAAGAATAAAACAGAGTTTTGTAAAAGGGTGCCAAAACTTTTCGTGACGACGAAATGGCGCATAAGGTTAACAACGGTGGTTTTTTAATACTTTGGAGGGGAGAAATTGAAAATAAAATTTTATTAGATAGGTGAGCTTTACATAACTATAAAAAGTCGAGCTCATTATAAAACTATAATTTTTTTTTCAATTATAAGAACTTGCTCGTATTTTCCCCCTCCTTTCTTCTTCAGATCAATTAATTTATCTTTATTTTATTTAGTTATTTGGTTCAAACAATTCTTTTGGATAACTAACTATTGGCTCTTTTGGTTAAAGAAGGGTAGATAGAAAACCGGTACAGTACGATTCGCCTGACCAGTACGGTACGATTATGCAGATCAGTATTTTTTCGCGAAATTTGGATTGGCCGTACCGTACTGTACTGGTCCTATAATAATTATATAACCAATCCAGTACGATGATGGTATAGACTGATTTTATAAAATTCGTACCATACCGTACTGGTCCTATAATATTATAGGACCAGTACGGTATGGTACGATGTCAAATTTTGCATTTTTGTATTTTTTCTTTTTTTTTTTTTATCTAATATATTTTAATTTTTTTTTTTTAATCTATTTTTTTTTTTATTATTTTTACTCCCCTCCCACCGGCCTTTTTATTTTTTTTATTTTGTTCATTTTTTTTTTTTTGCAATTCTATACTTTCGTTTTCATTTTATTTATTTGATTTATTCATTTTTTTTTTTTTGCAATTTGTTTCTTTTTTACTTTTTTTTTATTTCTTTTTCTTTTTCTTTTTTTATTTTAGATTTTTTTTCTTTTTCGTTTTTTTCAAAAAATAAATAAAAAGAATAAAAAAAATGAAAATAAAAATAAAAATAAAAAAAAAAGATTTCCGCGGATATGGCATTTAATTAGTAAAATGTGATATAATGATTTTTTTTTAATATTATAAAAATATCAAAATTCGTTATATTTATAAAATAAGTAATAAATAAAATAAATTTTACAAAAATTTCATTGCGTACCGTACCGTACTGGTCCTATATAATAGGGCTTAGTTATTATAGGACCAGTACGGTACGGTACGATATCAAATTTCACAAAAATTACTGATCTGCATAATCGTACTGGTCAGGCGAATCGTACCGTACCGGTTTTCTATCTACCCGTTAAAGACATATCTTGGATTCAATTCTTCGAGAACTTAATAAATAATGGACTCTATTTTTATATCGGCCTATGCAAAAAGTAACTGTCGAAGTTTAATACAATTTTATTTTGCTTTTTTCACTGACATACACTCTTTAAGCATAAATTGTATATGAGTGTCAAGCTTCAAAACAAGTTTCGGAAAACATTTCTAAGGATGTGGTCAAGATCATACGGGTTTGTCACATTAAAATATTTATCGTGACGAATATTAATAATGAAGCTTCATTTAAAAAAAAAATCATGAATTTCAATATTTTTTGTGCAAATCATGATAAAAAAAGGTCGGAATCATTACCCATTTCAAGATTAATTTCCATAGTTGTAGGATTGCTATTAGAAATAGAACTTGACACGGATGTGGTAAGTTTATCATCTACATCTAATGCATCTGATGGTAAATTAATTGTTGGGATATTAGGGTTAGTTATCAGCGCATTATCCCCATTTTCCAAGCTAAAATTTTCCAAAGTCTCAACAACTTCTGTAATGTCAGGACGTTCTTCTGGATCACATTTCCAACATTTTGAATAAAGTTGAAAATATGGCTCAGGTGTACCATCTACCCTGTTTTCTCGATCTCCAACAGCAATTCTCATTATAACTTTATAATTTTCAAGATTAGCGAATGGTACCCTTCTGCTTGATATTTCCCATAAAATCATTCCAAAACTAAAGATGTCGGATTTTTTGTTTCTTTTATAATCGATTTGTTTGACACATTGAGGATCCATATAAGCAGGCATTCCTCTGTGTTTAGAATTAGAAAATGATGCAGTTTCTTCTTTCGATAATCCAAAATCCGCGATTAACATTTTTCCTTGATGAATCAATATATTTTTAGAATGCTAATAATTTTTTTAATAATAAATGAGTGTTAATTAAGTTTAAATAAAATCTATATTTTGGAAGTTTATCATTTTTGTTAACACTCCATTAATTAAAAACTTACCAAATCTCTTTGAACTATGCCCTCGGCATGCAAGCATAATAATCCTCTAGATATTTCAAGCGCAATACGGTAATTATCAGACCACGTTAATTCTATAGATTTATTTTTTAAATAATCTTGAAGATTCCCCCCATCAGCATATTGTAATACCATTGCATAATCAAATATATCACCTAATAATAGATTTAGAGTTAGAAGAAAGTCACAATATATCTATTTAATTCACTTGCTTGAAATGGAATAAGCGTTGAAAATAACCTCCTTTTGTAATACCAATAAATTGATTTATATGAGGATGATAGAATATATTTCGAAGATTTATGAGCTAGCATATTATAATAATAATAATAATAATAATAATAATAAATTAATAAATTTAGTTTAATAAATGATAATAAAAAATTATTACTAAATAGTGTAGGATTTCATTTCTGAACTTACCTCTCTAATGAATTCTTTCCAAGGCGTTTTATCAGTTTCCTGATCGTTGGCATCCGATTTAAAAAATTTTAAAGCAACTATCATCCTACGACTTTTCCAACTTGCTTTATAAACAGAGCCACTCCCTCCTTCTCCGACGATATTCAAATCAGAAAATTCGGAATAAGCAATACATTTAATGTGATTTTCTTGTATTTGAGATTCTAACCAATTTTTATCTTTTTTATCTCTAGACATGGTGATAAATAAAAAGCTAGAATGTACACTTCGTGTTTTCTTAATTTATATTTTTGAGAAAAAACGGAACATCATTCCGGAAACGATTACTAAATATAACATTTTATTGTTTTTTAAGTTAGCAAGTTGTGAAACAGCTAAATTTGGTAAATTCTGCTTGCCATACATACACATGCTTTGAATAATACTTTTTTTGGTGTTTCTTTCATGATTTTCGGTGACATCCATCCATTTTTCATAGGAATAGATATGTCACAATAAATTTTGTCAAATTAAAGATTGCATATGAAACAAAGTTCAGGAATGATGAAAATCTTTTGTAGTTGAATTTCGACATTAATTCATAGGGTTGGTCCAAAAAGACAGGTCTTTCATCTTTCATTTGACCGGACGATTTATAAGGCTGGTCCAAGGATTGGTTTAGAACATATTCGAAAAAAAGAATATTCACCACATTTCACCCGATATATTTAAATATTAAAATTGTATGAATTTAATAAAACATTTGTTATCATAAATATAGAAGGCACAATAATAATAATTATTGCATACAAAACGATTACTGCGCCTTCTTAATCTCGTTATTTCTCCATTTCCGTCATTCCCGATATTTCATTCCGGACATTATCATTTATGACAGGTCCAAGATTGACTTATGGAACGATCCGGTCCATAAAAGAGATGAAAACCGAACCGAATCAATGCAACTCTAATTTTGTATTATTTTATAATAAAAAGAATTTATTAGTATTTTATAAAACTATATGCTATAAATAATTCGGACCGGTCCAATTAACCAGTCTAAGACTAGCTTAATTTAAAAGAATCATTAATGAAAGAATGTTAACTTGTAGTAAAACTAAATTCTGGCCGGCACTATGAATTTGGCCCAAGTGGTCTGCTTAACAAATTGTTAACACGTTCATTTTATTTTAATAATTTTTTTTTCAATCGCTTATTTACAAAGGATATCTTTCTCAAATTGCTTATTAATAAATTTAAAGAAATTTTAATAAGATGTAATTTAATCCTTTAAGTATTTAATAATATATTACAGTCAACTCTTTCTAAATGCATTTCTTAGGATCCATAGTAAAATTTTAAAAAATGTGCATTTAAAGAGGGTGTACATTTAAAGAGAAAATTTCTATATTTCTATATGCTTGGGACTAGAGACCTGCATAAGTCCAAATTTTGAAGCCCGGCCCGGACCCGGCCCGTTGCATGCCTCTACTTGGGACTGAACGAGAGTATGCACTTAGAGAGAAAATATATAGTGTATGCATTTAAAAGGATGCATTTAGAGAGAGTTAACTGTAGTATATTTTCTAAATGAAACAAATTATAAAACCTTTACGTTGAATAGAATTTTTGCAATAGAAAGATAATTACTGAAAAGTATCAAATTCATCCAATATGCTAATTATGATTTTAGGTTAATATATAAATTCTTTGCAATAAAATAATAAAAAAAATATATTATTATATACTAAATATAATTTTGTAATAAAATAAGTTCAGATTTATTCTTTAACTTTGTTTTTAAAATATATATTTAATTATTAATAGTTTTTTTCTTATTTTTTTATAATTTACATCATTATTTCTTCATTTAATTCATTTTCATATTTATTAAATTAAATATAAAAGACTTGTGAATTATTAAATTATAATTATTAATAATTATTTTTCTAAATCTATTCTATATTAAAGTAATATATAATTAAGTTAATATAATTTTAATAAAGTAATATAATTAACTTTTATAGTATTATTAAGATCATTCCATTCTTTTAAATATATTAAAAAAAAATTAATTAATTTTTTTGTATTACCATTTTCTTAATATTCTATTTAATCTAAATATTAAAATCTAAATTATTAAATATTTCTAAAAAAAAAAAAAAAATACAATTTTATAAAGTTTTTTTATTAAATAAATCAAATATTAAGCTATTTAAATTTTTAAATCAAATTGATTAAAATAATTTATAAATTAATTTAATTCAATTAATAAATTTAAAAATTAATTAATTACATATATTAAAATATATTAAAATAAATTAAAAGTAATTTAATTAATTTATAGTATATTAAATTAAAAAATAATAATAATACTATTTTAAAAAATTTATCTAAAGTATTTTTATTAAATAATTTTAATAAAAAATATTACTATCAAGTTTTGTAACTTTTTTAATAAGTTATAGCTAAGATTGCTTATCTAAACTCATTTAGAATTTGGTAAAATATTTAACTTTTAGTTTTGCTAATTTTTTACTAAGGTTTTAATATAATTTTACATATTTATAAGCTTTAATATAGTTTTACCTTTTCTAGAATTTTGTAGATTTTACTAAAATTTCCATTTATATGACTTGTAAAACCTTTAAGTTTTATCTAACAATTTTAGTTATAGCTAAATTTTATTTTATATTATTTATATGACTTGCAAACTTCTAAGATTTTATCAATTAATAATAAATTAAAAAGAGGAAAATAATAATATTATTTGTAAATATTTTTTTATATTAATATATAAAATGTAATTAATCTCAAATATTTTAAAAAAAAATATTTTTTTTAATATAATTACAAATTTAATTAATAAAATATAATAGATTTTAACTAAAAAAAAATACAATATTTATTATAATAAAATTTTGCGATAATATATCAAAATATTATATTAAATATATAATATAAATTTTTTTATTAATTAAATATTTATAAAAATTTAAAAAAAAAGAATTCTAAAAATTTTACTAACTTTAATTTTTAACTAATTTAAATAAATATATAGGATCTTTATAATAGAAAGTGAAAAAACAACTAGAAAAAATAAATTTAACTTTTATATGTCAAATATGATTTTTATATTAAAATATGTTTAAATTTAACATTAATATAATTTTTATTTTTTTTAGTTATTTCCTTCTTTTCTATTGCAATCCATATAATTATAATCAATAAGTATATTAATAAAAAATATTTTTATTCAAAATTTAAAATTTTTTCTTTTTTATTCATATATATACTATATATATTTTCTTATAATATTTTATTTTTATTTATTATATAAAAACTAAATAATAATTTATTATAAGTAGTATTC